CTTATTTCATGTTTCTTCATTTTCAAATAACTTTTAACCATGGTACCAGTTACCATGGTACCAGTTACAATTTCAAATATTAAACAACTAAAATAGTTTTTAAATGTTTACAACAAAATTTACAACTAAATTTTTTGAGCTCAGATGAGCGCAGTAGGTGCTAGGCTTTTTTATTATAAATGATATCCAATCACAGATTTTGCTTTAAAAAATGAAGAAGACAAATTACATAATTAATTTTTATATTAATTCTCATGCTTATATTTTTTGTATCAGTGAATTCATTAATACCTTTTAGTATCAGTGAATTGTTTCTATTATCAGTGCATTTATTTATTCAGGTATATTTTGTTTAAAGATTTAAAAAGAACTCATAGAACATAGAATATGAGAAAAAAGTAACTAATTAATTTTTAAAATTATTTTCTGTTTCTGTCCACTATAGAAATATTCTTTATTAAGTTGATTGCATAACATACAAACCTCAATTTAAATTTAAACCACGCACCAATTTATCATAATTAATTAATAAGTTTTCTTTAAAACGCTTGTATAATATAATTTTAATAAAACTTTAAAACTTTCTTTAAAATAAGTTAATTAGTTAAAAAATCAAAGGTATAAAACCAGACAATAAAACAAGATTTTTACAACTGAACAAAGCATTATAAAGCATGTAATAAAAATCAAAAATCATAAATACTCAATGGTCTATATTTAATTTAAAATCAATCATTGGGTCAATCCAATCCACTCCAAAACAGTTTGTCTTTTTATTTAGCATTGATAAAATGCTTAGTTGTTTTATCATAATTATTACTTTAAAAAAATCAAATAATTTATTAATGTAAACAAAGCAAGCGATCACGACAGAAAATTAATGCTTACAACTAATAAACTATTTACTGATAATAACATAGTTTAATATCATTTTATTTGCATTATAAAATTACACTGTACAACAATTTTTAACTTTTTGAAAAAAACATAAACCAAATTAGGTTATTTTTATTAATTCAGACGTGCTGATTCCAAATATGTAATCAGTTATGCTGTAGCACGTCACAATTTTTTGAAATAACGATTTAAAGATGTAACGTAAGATGCATTTTTCTATACATATGAATAAGTGTATGAACATGTTTATTATCACTTGTAACACAAATTGTTTACTTGTATTTAAATGTATTTAGCCTGGCATTTGAATGCTGCATCGGGTTCATCGTGGTGCAAATTCCAGCAGTAAGTAGCAGGCATGGCGGGGCTCTACTTTTCCTTGTATCTGCGTTTGAATGCATCCCATGCTGCAAGTTCATATTGATCCATCGTTACCGAAAACGTTTCATCCAGCATCAGTTCTCGTATTTGGGGCCCCACCAAAATGCCCTCTTTAATTTTGGTGTCACTGATTTTAGGAAATTTGGTCTGCAAATACTGAAATGCTGGTTTGTCGTGATCTAACGCCTTTACAAACTGTTTGAAGATTCCACGCTTGATGTGAAGATTGGGCAAGACGATCTTCTCTTTATCCACAAGAGGTTCATGAATGACGTTATGGGAACCAACCTCAAATGTTTCTCGTTGTGGCCAACATTTCCTCATATAATGTTCTGATCTCATCCTGCTATCCCATTTGTAAAACCAGCCTGCAATCCATTTAGTATAGCAACAACTTTCAAATCTGCACATATGGACCATCTGTGATCTCTGTATTTAATTCTGTCCAGAATAAGTGATATATTCTTATAGCTTTCCTTCAGGGTTACCGAATGTGTTATGGGAATGGAAGGCAGCACATTTCCAGTATGCAGTAATACTGCCTTAATACTATAACGTGATGCGTCAATAAACAAATATCACATAGATGAATCGTATTGAATTCCTAGATCATCAAACAATCCACTGATTTCATTACAGAAGCAAAGTTCTTTATCCATAGAGAAGTATTGCTGCAGTTCCCGTGATCGCTTTCTATTTGACAACACTCTTGCATCACCAGCCAACAGATGCCACTCCTGGAGACGTGAAGCCAGCAATTCACTCTGTTGCTTTGTTAAATACAAATCTCGAACGAGATCTTTCAGGTCAGATCCTGTTATGAAGTGGGGTTTACGCTCTGTATCTTCTGGCAACTCGTAACTATCATCGTCATCAGTATCCTCGTCTGAATCAGAACTTTCCGTGTTTGGGATTTCCGATGGAGGTTCAGGAACAGTGAGTTCAGCCGAATGAGGAACAGGACGAATAGCTGAAGGTAGATTTGGGTACACTATAGCTTTCTTACCCTTAGAATTGCGACCTGATATGTTAACAGAACAGAAATAGCAATCTGAACAATGATTTTGGGGTTCACGCCACACCATTGGCACCCCAAATGTTGGTCCTCCACCAGTCCTGTTCGCCCACGACGATAGTGAACTAGCACACCTCACACAGCATGCATGAGGCGCCCAGTTCTTATCCTGGTCGCCGACTTTGCAACCAAAGTATAGTTCATACAGTTTTTTCACATGTGGTGTCAATCTTCGTCTGCATCTCTTTAAAGTCATTTCGCCACAAATGTAGCAAAAGTTGTCGGCTTGATTTTTACAAGTTCTGGACATTTCTTGCTTCAATATACACTGTATTATATCTATATATTACTTGGCTAACTATAGTTTATCTAAAATAAAACAGACTTACATTTAGTCTAATACAAGGTTAAACAAATGCAACTGTATTATATCATACACTGTATTATATCTATATATAACTTGGCGAACTGTAGTTTATCTAAAATAAAACAGACTTACATTTAGTCTAATACAAGGTTAAACAAATGCAAATAGGTATATGATAAAAAAATGCTAATAAATAAATCATAAACAACTGCTATTAAATATAATAAAAATCACATTGACAACTTTCATAGTGAAAATCGAAAATTTGAAAATGTGAATTTCCGTCAAAATTGGTGGGTCACACAACAAAACGGACATTATTTTCGTAATCTCCAAATCAAAATACATAAGGTAGTGTCAATGGCATTTCCGTTTTTTTTTTCCGTTGTTGTACAGTGTTATAAATATAAATTATATTGCCTACTTAAAAATATCAGATAAATAAAATACTTCAGTATATTTTATTCACAGATTTTTAATTTACATTATTTATAAATTTATACAATAAATAATAAATAGATAGGTTTACCAACAGCTGAGTTTTGCCAGAATAATGGATATTTTTGCAAAACACTTGCTCAGCTGTGCAACAATTTACTATATTACTTTCAGTTTTTTACTGGAATAGTTCACCATTCACCATTAAATAAGATATTAGTTCAAATCTTTGTGCGATAAGAACTGTTTTATTTTGGATAATTTTCTCAATATATTGTAGCAGTTTTTAACACTCTTACTTATTTGTGTTAAAGATAGTTCATTGTCAAGTATCACACCTAAACTTTTTGTGAAGTCAACAAACCTAATGCATTCTTTGTTAACAAAAGTACCTTTAACAATAATGTCTTTGAATGCTAAGAAATGCTTATTTTTGATTGGTTATAACATAAGAATGATTCACTCATTCATTTAAATATGTATTCAAGACATTTAGTATATTCAGGACTAGTGCATTATGTTGAAACGAAGGAAGGAATGCTTTTAGAGTTTAAGGATTATCTGAGTATCCAAATGTTTTAACATTGATATTGTTCAGATAATTGTTTAGTGGTTTCATATAAATATTAAAGAGTTTTTGACCCATGACTGTATAGTGTGGTGTTCCATATTTTACATTTTGGATCGTGGAACATGAGTTACCAATTTTAGCTTTTTGGGTACGATTAACTAAAAATGATTGAAACCACTTCAATTATATTTATTTCACTAGCTAATAGCACAAGTAGTTATTGCAGATTAATAGTGTCAAAGGTAGCACTTAGGTCAAGTAGCATTAGTACTGAAGGTGTATGTTTATCAAAGAGTTTAAATATATCATTGGTAAGCTTGATTGTTAAGTGTTTCAGTCGAATGTTCTCTGATTTTTTCAGTAAAATAATTACCTAAGTTGTTAGCTAGTTCTTTGTCTGAATCAGCTGTTGGTAGTACATATTCTTGAGTTTTATTTAGTAGCTTGTTTACCAATGAGAATAGATTTTTACTTGCAATGTTTTTATTTAATAGGTTATTTATTTTATAATTAGAAATATATTCTTTTATATAAGCAATTATTGTTGTTTTTTTCTGGAGGCACCAATATTCTTTTTTGTCAATTTCATTTTTTGTTCTCTCAAACAATTTTTCTTCTTTTTTTTGTTTTTGCCAAAGTTTTGTCTAAAAAACCTGACTACCAGCTGGCTTTAGAACCATAAAACTGAGTTTTAGAGCTGTAACCTTATCAGGGGATAATAGAATGAGTTTCTTTGTCACAAAAACAGAGACACAAGCCAAACCCATGATATGTGTCATTAAGACCCAACATTCAAAATCCTTAACTGGAAACAATGTATTAAAAATACATCTACTCCAGCCTAATAAATGAAGAAGGGTTGCGAAGCTGGTCAACACTATTATATTAAAAGAAAAACAAATACTAATTTTTTATTCATTTTATTATTTGTTAAGATTTTATTTTTTTTAGTTTAGTTTTATATATTTTTTTTTAGTTTTTATTTCTCTTTCCAGTTTATAGTTTGTTTAATTTTAGTTTAAGTTTACATTTGTTTATTCAGTGCATTTTTTAAAGTTTTTATTTATAAGCATTTTGCAAGTAGCCATAGAAAAAATTGCCAAAACAAAATATTATATTCAAGTGATATAAGGTGTGCAACCACATGCGTTTTTTGAGAAGGCTTGCTACAGTATTATCATTTTTTATTTTAATTTTTTTGAGTAAACAAGAGAAAATTTTGTTTAAATATCTTAAATATTTTTGTTTCACCTTAAAAACATTCAGTAATTATCATTTATTTTGACATAATATTTTATATCAATAAAATATAAACGCTTAAAAAAATTTACCTGGATAAAACTGCTTTTTATGAATACTTGCGGCTTCCTCAATCATTGATTTAACCCAGTCTAAAAACTCCGTGAACACTTCAGGAAATAACCTTTGATTAACTAAATCACTTTCTTTGATGCTGCATTTATTCAAAGCTATAAAATTTTAGTGAAATTTATTCAATTTTATAACTCAATTATTAACTAAAATTTTATTAATTATCAAATAATTTCAGAAAACTAGTATAAATAAAAAAAAAAATTATATCTGATAGAAAAACGTGATGAGATGATATGTAGCACAAAATGATATACTTTAAAAAATAGACTAGAGTTATGGCAAATCTCTATCTATAATATGATAAATTCTAAATCCCATCAGTTAATTATCTAATATTTTATTATTAGCATACAATTGGATTAGGAATCAAAGCTGTCTTTAAAACAATACTTTTTGTATGAAGTTACTTTTGACTTTAGTTTGTTTTAACATAACATATAACTGTATATATGTTATTTATGTTATGTTTGCAAAAAATATATGTTACATATATAAATAATATATGTTTGAGCAATTCTATGTGTAAAAAACTAGGCCATGTATTCTTAAGTCTCAGATTTTGCTGATTTTTACACCACTCAAAGATTTTAATAATTTATGAACATCCCAAAAATTTCATTATCTAATTTTAAACTGTTTCAAAGATATGACTACTCAAACTTTGTCTTAAACCAATAAAAATCTGCCATTTTAAAAACAATAATTTCTTTGTTTCTGTTTTGTGTGCAATGGAAAGACGAAAATGAGTACAGTTACATATTTTAAAGAAAGGAATTCAATAAAATAACTTAAAACATTTAAAAATAAACATAACATTTGTAATTTTGACCTTTATTGCAATTTTACTGTGGAAAGTTTATTATAAAAATGCTGGTGTAGCTTGATTTTTTTTTAGATGTCCTGAATATTTTAGTTAGAGTTGTTACAAAGAATCGAAGAGTGTTCTTTTCTTAAACAAAAAAAAACATGGTCAAATTTACTTAAATTTGTTACTAATAAAACAGGAGTTATGAAAAATCAAAGGAAAAAAAGGTTTTGAGTGCCACCATTTTTTTAAAAATATTTTACTGCAGTATGGAATAGGCATAAGTCGCGGGGTAAAGCATAAGTGGCAATGACGTTTGTCTGACGGGATAAATTAGTTATAAAAGCTGATCCTCATCGAAACGCCAGTAATAATAGATGCAACTCTGAGGAGATTTTTATTACTTAATCACTACACTAATTATGTTTATACATTGGCATTAATGTTTTTTTCCATTATTAGGCCTTTCATTGTTTAGCCTACTTTTTATTTTGTGATTGGTTTTTTGTTTTATAAGTTTTTGTCTGGTGATGTATTTGTTGTATATCTTTGTTCATGTTGGTGTTTATAAAACAATTTTATTTATTTATTATTTTCTTTTTTTTTTTATTGTTATTATTGTTGAGTACTGTTTTGGGTGTATAGCCTGTCTTATTTATTTTTGAATATTCCTCTATTAATCTTTATTTTTGTCTTGACAACTGTCAAAATATGCTTTGTCCAATAAATAACTATCATTTATTCTAATGTACTTCATTTCTTCCCTTAGGCGTTCATTGCTCGCGTGTGACCATTCGGCGAATTTTATATGCCAAAGTTTTTACATAATAAAAAAGGTGGTCTTGAGTGCCACCATTTTTTTCAAAAATTATTAAACATCAACTTCTATGTATTATACATAGAAGTTGATGTTTAAAAATTTTTGGGAAATTTTCCCACTCATTCAAAGCTTATTAAGACCCTTTCCCCCTATTTATTAAACTTTACTCAAAGAAAGAATCCTAAAAAGTATTCCAGTTTGAAAGTTTTGAAAATTAAAAAGAACTGAAGTAAGTAAAATAAGTAAAAATACTAGTAAAAGTAAAATGAACTTTTTTTTAGTTTTCGACATCCAGGAGCTTAAAAAAAAAACTTATGGATTACTAATAAAGAAAAAATTAAAATTTTTCAGTTTTTGAACCTGGAGTTCTTAGGTATAATGACAGCAAGGACTCTGGGACTCAGGGCTTAAAAACAATAGGTTCCAAGTCATTAAATCTTATGATTTTTGACTTGGAACAGAGATATAAAGCCAGAGTCCCTTTGGGACTCCGGCTTTATATCTTTGCATCCCCGATTTTACTTGTTATGAACAAAGAAACTGTATCTCAAAACTAGGAAAAATATTTTTATTATTATAGATATATAATTTTGCTAAAAAAATAAAAAATATATATTTTATTATTTATATATAAATAATATAACTTTTAATTATTATTTTCTAATTTTTGAGATTAGTATAGGTCTTAAAAATTAGAAAATTCACATACAGAAATATCTTTAATACTTAAATTAATTTATTTAAGTAATTTTTATGCCTCCAAAAATTACCGTTTTTCTCATTGTCGCATGATAAAAAAGGTATCATTGTAAAATGTTATTCTAACCATGAATTTGTTTGCATTATCAGAACTAAATTAGTGTGAAAATGGAGCTGACATGTTGAAATTGTTGTTAGTCACATTTTACACATTTTGAAGAAAATAATGAAAGAACTTTTGCAATTTTCATGTAACGTAACTTAACGTAAACATGATAAAGTTTTGTTAATATTAATCTAAAATTTAGTTAAAAAAAATATTATTAAAATAGTTTTTTAATAATATATGCGAAAGAATATTAAACGTTTTGTTTTTGCATTTAAAGTTTTGAATGACGATGCTTAGTTAAGCACATTTTTATTTTAAATTTGTGTAATGTAAGTTAAAACTACATGCTTTTGCTAAAGTTCTAGCGCTTTTTGTTAACAAAATGAATTAGGTCATTAGGTAATTATTATTTTGTTGACAAGGTTCTAACTGAAACTTTTTATATAAGGAGAATATAGTAAAAAATATTTTTTTTTAATGTTAATTAAAATTTAATTTGTTTATGTATTCTTATGTTAGTTGACATAAGTAAACATAAATATATAAAAATAAGAATTTTATAAATATTTGTATTTAGACATTAAAAAAAAAGATTTATTTGTTATTCTCCTAATATAATAAAAGTCAGTTAAAACCTTTTTTGTTTTTGTTTTAGTAAAACAAATGTTTGTAAATGAAATTATGGATCATCCATAAAGCATGTCACCCTATATTTGTCAACTCTTAACCCCTTCCCTCCCGTCACAAACAATCACATATACCTAAACCCTCTCCTAAACTCTCCTAAACTGTCATACCAGTTTTTTTGTTAAAAATATTTTAAAGGATTTAAATGTAACTATTTTGCAGCATCCTAAAAATTGAACTTAATAAAAATGAGATAGTTCGCATAAACGTAAGGATTGTTATAAAAATGTTATAAAAATCACTCAGGAAGAGTGACATCATTTTTTTTTTATTTCTTTTGTTAACTAATTTCAAAAAATGAGTTCAATACTTTTGCAATTTTTTAGTTACATGATTGTAAATCTTAATAATAGATATAAAAAACCCGTGATAAATACCGCTGTAACATAAGTTACATATATAGTATCAAAAAATAAATTTCTTAGTTACATGATTGTAAATCTTAATAATAGATATAAAAAACCTGTGATAAATACCGCTGTAACATAAGTTACATATATAGTATCAAAAAAACAAGTTTAATTTCCTGAGCCGGTCACCTCTGGTAAAATGTTAAACTTTTTTTTATTTTCAGTAATAAGTTTGCCCTCTTTTGGCCAGACTCTTTAGCTGATTTTATTCTTTAGACTAACAGCTTTCATACTAAAGCAATAACTATTAGGTTATGAGTTACTAGAAAATAAATGATAGGGTTAAAGAGCAAGAAAACAGTTAACTAAAGATTTAAAAAGTTGTCGGTAGTATGAGCCAGGAAAGCATGAAGATAGGTAAGCAGGGTGTTACCCAGGAAAAAATTTCATACAGTGTTTTTGCGAAATTGGAAATTTAGGTGCAGCTCAAAAAAAAAAAAAAAAAAAAGGTGAGTATACTTCCATTTTTTAGATATAATTAAATTTTAATCAAAATAAATGTTCTTTTTTTGCTGGGTGTTATAGTTATAGCAGGATTATTTTTCTACTTTATAAATGTTTAATTCTAATTATTTAGCTTGTTTCATTATGGGCAATCTAAAGTTTCTCCTCTTTGTTTGATATACTGTAGCCGTCAGTGTCGTGGCAAGTATTATGAACCTTTGGGAATTTGAAACCAATTGGGAATACCGTGTTATATGCGGTGCCATCAAGCTGGTTAACACCCTGGTAAGAGTTTTGAGGTTTTTTTGACAGATAAGAATTAAAACAAGATGAATAAAATTTTTACAGCATGGAGGAACAGGTAAAGAAAAAGGATTTTGCTGAATGACAAGTCAAGCCACAATGGGTTTGGTTGATCCTGCTAGAGATAACAGGTTTTTGAGCAACGATTTTGATAGTATTTGAAGAAAAAAAAAAGAAATGCAATAATGAGAGAGTGGCTCCAGCTTGGCAGATTTGGTCCAACTTTATTTACAATGTGCATTAAGACATTGTATGAGAGTGAGAAGTTTGTTATTTATCAATATAGGAATGTCAACAATATTTTGATAGCTGTTTACAAAAAATAAATGAGTTTTGTTGGATCTAAAATCCAGCTTGGGACTTGCAGTAGCAAGTCCCAAGCTGTTATAGAAAAGAGGTCAGATTAAAGAATGGCTGCTTGTTCTCATCAGCTAAGATATTTAGAGATACTTAAGATATTTAGATATAAAAGCACACAAACAAAATAAAATTGATTACATTTAGTAATACATCAGCAAAACAATTGTCAGCAATGGTTGTTTTTCTAATATTTATTTATTTCAATATCGCAACATTTTCTAGAACAATTATTAAAAATTACATTGAATTTGCAGTTGCAATTTTTTAAACTTTATTTTAATATATAATTATAAAAAAAAGTATATTTGCGAGCTTTATTTTCCCAGTGTAAACTGATTTACACGGGTGCACAGTGGTCCAGAAATGCCACTTTTGAGGCAAGTTAATAAGCTAAAATTTTTAGTGAATTTTTATTATACTCTGGCCAACAATAACTGCTATCAAAATGTTGCTTTATA